ATTCCTTTTGTCCTTCTTCTTCTCTCTCTCCCTCATCTCCGCCGCACCAATTCCCTTCAATAAAGTCATGTACAGGCGAATCCTATCAGTCAATCGCAGCGAATCTAGACGAGACGCTGCTATGCTCACGCAACTCGTTCCCTTACTTCATCGACAAAAAAAAAAACGTTTGTCATCAGGGATGGGTGGGTGTTGATTTGCTCGGCCTTGGGACGGTAGAAAGGGGGACTAGGCTTGCGGCGATGACTAAAAATCGGGGATGGATGTGGTCGGGATTTTAAATGTTGTGGGGGGATTAAGTGGGCCCAAATTAGTTTACATGCTTTTTATTTTAACATAAATAAATTATGTGTAAATGATGTTACATGACTCCTGGCATCATGTGTTGACCATCTCACCGCTCTTACTCTTCACCGATTTCCTACTGCTGCTGAGATGTGGCATTATCTACGTGATGTTCACTCTCAACAGAATGTTTCTCGTTAGTTTTAGCTTGAAACTGAATTGGCTAATCTTTCCCAGGGTGATCAGTACAGTCGGACTTATTATCACACGTGCCTGAGTCTGTGGACTGAACATGATATGCTTACTGCTTCCTTGACTACAGGTGTTGCCTCGGCTGAACTGGTTGCCGAACTCTCCCGCTTTCGCTTGATGAAGTTTCTGATATGTCTTTGACCGGAATATGAGTCTCTTCATGCTTCTCTCCTTCATCACAACGTCAAAAACCTTGATAATGTCGTTGTTGAGCTTGTTCGTGAAGAGACTTGACTTAAGTTTCAGGCTCAACTTGACTCTCCTGCCTCTAGTGAAACGAACTTTGTTGTTGGTCATGGGTCATCGTCTGGTCGCCCTCACTTCCATAGCACGGATTACAGTACTCTCACGTGCCATTTTTGTAATGAGTTGGGTCACATCCAGCCTCATTGCAAAAAGCATAATAACTCTTATTGTAAGAAGTCCGACCATGTTCTTTTCAATTGCCCTACTTTGGCACGACGAGGTCAATTTGCTCGCCGTCCTTCTATCTGTTCTGAGGCTGGCTATATTGTGGATTCTACTGCCTCGACTACTCCCGCGGGGTCGCATCCTCTTTCGGGACCGTCCTCTGCTACTTTCTCTCTAGCGGATATTCGCCGCTTGGTGCAGGAAGCCTTGCAAGAGGCTCTTCCTTCTGCTTTGACTTATGCTTTTGCTACTGGGGCTGCGTCAGGTAACTCTTCTCCATGGTTGTGAGACTTTGCTGCCTTTAATCATATGTCTCCTTCACGTATGCATTTTGTTTAGCTCCATTCGACCCATGATATTCACCTCCAAGTTGCCAATGGGGAATGCCTTCCTGTTCTGGGTACTGGGACAGTTTCTACCGGTGCTATTACACTATCTGATACCTTATTTGTTCCCAAGTTGGGTCACAACTTAGTTTATGTCATTCAGTTGACGGATGAAGGGTGTGATGTCTCCTTTAATACCGATTGGTGGGTTGTGCAGGACCAGAGAAAAAGGAAGGTGATCGGGACAGGACGTAAGGAGGGACGAGTGTTTGTGTTGGATTCATACGAGAAGAACGCAACAGTAGAGCAGGCGGCATCCCCTAGTAGTGATAGGCAGTTGAATTTTGATCCTATTTCTTGTGGTTTTTCGTTTAGACCTTTGGATTTTTCGGTCCATACTTCTCGATGGGATTTATGGCATTGTCGGTTGGGTCATCCTCATTATGCTTGATTACTTTATATGTTTTGGAATAATCTATTGCTAGATAAATTATCTCATCCTTCAGATTCTTTGACTTCTTGTGTGAGCTGCATCGAGGCAAAGGCTCATCATTCTTCTTTTAGTGTGAAATTGATACAACTTATGATGAGCCATTTGCTCTTGTTCATACCAATTTATCGGGACCGTCGCCTGTTACTTCTCGTTTGGGTTATCGATATTTTGCCTTGTTTATTGATCACACTACACGATACACTTGGATTTATTTTATGCGCCAAAAGTCGGAGTTAGTTACCTTTGCTACTGAGTATTCGCATGGTGCAGACATAATTTAACAGAACTGTCAAGATCATCCGGTCAGATGCTGGGGGCGAGTTTAGCTCCACGCCATTGTTGGATTTCTATAAATCACAGGGTATACTGTCGCAGTTATCTTGCCCTGGGGTTTCCCAACAAAATGGGGCAGTGGAGAGAAAGAATCGACATGTTTAGGAGCTCACGCGTGCCTTGTTATTTCATGCCTTGATGTCGAGTTCCTTTTGGGCCGAAGCAGTACATACTGTGGTATACCTGATTAATCAGTACACCACTACAATTTTGGATTACAAATCTCCTTATGAAGTTCTTTATAAGAAAACCCTAGATTATACAACTTTGCGTGTGTTTGGTTGTGTTTATTTTGTTCTTTTGCAGAAAAGAAAACGTCATAAACTTCAACTGAAGACTTCTAAGTGTGTATTTGTTGGATATAGTGATCATTATAAGGCGTATTTGTGTTATGACCCGGTTGCTCGTCGTATGTGTGTATCGTGTGATGTAATGTTCCTTGAACAGGTTAAATATTATAGCACCAGCAAGGAGGCAACTTCACAATCTCTGGTATTTCTCACTACGTTGCCGAGGTTTGATCCCTTTCCTGACCCGCCTGTTCATAAACAGGGAGGGAACTTGGCGGATCTGGGTAATTCACCTCCATATACACCATCGAATCATCACTCTTCATCTGCGGGTACTTTGGGTCCTTCCTCGGCCACATCGGCCACTTCCTTCACAGCAGTGACGGAGGACAGCCCGCACTCTGCTTCTCCATCAGCGATTGGGGGCTCTTCTCCCTCGTCATTCGGTTCAAGATCCTTCTCGGCGGGTTCTGGATCGGATCCGGAGGCTGCACCACCTCTTGAGCAGCAACAACAACCACTGGTACTTTGTCGATCTGACCGATCAACTCTTGGTCAAATCCCAGTCTGACTTCACAATTATGTTTGGTTTTTCCTCAGAACCTCTTACCATTTGATAGACCAATAATTACACCTGTTTTTACCCCTATTCTAGAGCCGTTTGAGAGGTTGATTGTCGTGTTTTAAGCCGATTTCACTCGAGGTTGTGCGTTTATGTCATATTTCAGGGCTCGGCGTTGGAATCGAGGCAAAGAAACGAGTTTTGGGTCGAAAGGAGCGAAGTTGGAACGAAGTGTGCTGCAGGAGGAAAATACCCGATCATGGGCTCAAATACCCGACCGGGTATTAATTGGCGTAGACCGGGTATTTCTTGTTTTGGGCGTCGCCGAGAAACAGAAGGGGGCCAGGGCAGGAAGCTAAAATCCCCGGTCGAGGATTCTTAGGCCAGACCGGGGATTTTCCTCTGCTCCTAAAACGCACGTTTCGATTATACCCGGTAGAGACCCTAAATACCCGACCGGGTATCGCGACAGGCAACTTTTTAAAGGAAAAGAAGGCTAAAAATCAAGGGTTCCGAGTTTTAGAGAGACAGAGCGATTTCTAGAGAGAGAAGGCGATGAACCAGAGTTCCCAAGTGCCCTAGCTTGATCTTCATCAGCATTGGAGCCCGGCTTGAGCTTGGAGAAGTGTCGATTGACGACCAGGAGCAGAAACTCATCCTTCACAGTATGATTTTCGCATCTGAATCTGCTTTTGCTTCTCTCTCCATGGAGTAGTTTTCCCATTCATCTGGGTATGGAGAACTCTAGATTTGTATGTTAGGTCTGATTGTATGAACCCAAGTACAGATTTTATGATTTGATTATATTTGATTGAGGCTTGAATGATTGAATGACTTGAATCCTGATCAAATTTCTGTTGTTTCTGCTTTAACTTAGAAAGAGAATGTCTGCCTAGGTTGATAGAGCACCCTTAATTGAAGGTAGTGAATTGGCGACTTTAGTCGAGGAGCCAATTCACTATTCTGTACCGAATTTACTTCGGTAGTGGAGGTTTGGTTCGTTAGGGCCTCAATCTGTTTACTCCGGTGGAGGTTAAACGCCCGCTAGAGACTCGGATTGAGAGGGTCTGGAGACCTTTAGTCGAGACTTCGGACTGTTTAAGAACCTTCCGCAGTATAACTATCATAAAACTGAACTTGGTAAATTGCAATCCGCTTAACTGCAGTCTAGGGGGAACCATATCCGGGTGACCTCTCTCGACTTGAAAACAACCGTTTAACTTGCTTTGTTTGTTTGTTAGTTTGGACTTGCACTAAAGTTTCACTGCTAGATAATAAGAATTCACTGAGTAGTCATCACATCTAGGACCCGGGTTAACATTAAAACCCAAACCCGCTATACTACGCTTTAGGAAGTGGTTACACTTGGCCAATTTCTAGAGTGACAGTAGGAGTGAGTCACCATTCCATCTAATTATGAGGAAGCCAAGGATGATCCGCACTGGAATGCAGCAATTAATGACGAAATGCGAGCCTTGGACGAGAATCAGATGTGGGATGTGGTTCGACGTACTCCTGATATGTTGGTTATTGGGTGTTGATGGGTATATACCTTTAAGATGTATCCGGATGACACCATAGAACGTCACATAGCTCGATCAGTTGCTCAAGGTTTTCGTCAGGAGTATGGCATTAATTATGAGGAAACCTTTGCTCCGGTTGTTAAAATGCAGACGGTTTGTATTGTTTTTGCTGTGGCAGCAATGCAGGAGTGGCATCTTGTCCAGTTAGATGTAAAAAATGTCTTCCTTCATGGCGATTTGAAGGAAGAAATTTACAAGGAATGCCCTTCTGGTTATGCCGCAGGAGGAAAGGGTTTTGTCTGCAAGCTTTGTCGCTCTCTATATGGTCTTAATCAGGCTCTGATACCATGTCAATTTAGCAAAACGAATAGCAGAAAATCAAAGAAAACAAGGAATTTTTTTAACGTGGTATCGTCAATTAAACACTAGTCCACGAAGAGGATCTCCCTCTCAGATTTTAATATTATGTTTTCTGTAAGGAATGATATACAGCTTGATACAATATTTATTGGGATAAACCCTAAGTCACCCGGTGTCCTTATAGAACACGACTACTACTACAAGAGGGACTTCCTCAATTAACAGATAACACAAGTTTGTTGATATCTCTTGTAGGCTTTTGCAGGCACAAACTATGATCTCTAGCAAGTTTAAAAGCATGGTGATAAATTTTGGAAGCCTGGTCATTTCATCGTTGCACGAGAGATCCAAATACCTGAAATTCATTAGGCTTTGAATGTGACGAGCCAACATCCAGATTAGAAAGCGCCTTAAAAGCTGCTTATTTCCATCCCGGAATTCACAAAATCAAGTACATGCCTCTGGATGTTCGTCTGGTCTAGTAGTGCGAGGTTCAGACGGGCGTGTGGAGCTGGCTGTAGGTGCTCTTCACTCTGGTATTGCTGATCCCTACCTTGCAGAACTCCTTGCTGCTAGAGACGCCATTTTCCTTGTGGTCTCCAAATCGCTATCCCGGGTCTTCATTGAAGGAGATTCAGAGGTGGTGATTCATCAGCTGCGTCAAGGTGTATTATCAGATTCCATTGGAGGACCGGTGCTTCGGGATTGCTTTCTTCTCTTATCTTCTGTGTCTTCTTCCTTAGAGTTTAGGGCAGTCCCCCGGACTACGAACAGGGCTGCCCATAGAGTGGCGCAGAAAGCCCTGTTACTCTCCCCTTTAGAGTTGTACTCCTTTGACTTTGTGGATTGGCTTCGCTAATGTATGGGTTGGGCAGGGTTTGGGTAGTGTGTATAGGTTCTCTCTTGACATTTCTTGGAAAAAAAAACTTATGAGTACTGGAAGAAAGGCATTTTTTTTGTTTTTTTTTAATGGAAATCTGCATTCAATTAATTAAACATCCAAAGTTTCATCCTCTCTAAGGAGAGGTACAATAAAATAAGGTGGGTTATCAACCTCCTCTATCTTGGACATACGATGCAAATTCACCTCCGTTTTGCGGCTTAGCATACAATCAGTAACCATGAGTAACCAAATCTCAGCCATCAGATTTAAGTGGACCTAGAAAATTCAGATCTAAAGGTGGGGAATTAAATACATTTTATTTTCTCTAGTTTCTTAATCGGCTTTTATCTTCTTCGTTCTAACTAGCTCGGATTTCAAAAAAAATTCCCCAGATGGAACGAGTTCATTGTGCTCTACAAAGTGAGATCAATTTTCAATATTTTTTGAGAATTTTTTTTCATACCTCTCGTTACCAACTCCATACCATGTGGTAACTCCTTAGTTTTTAAGTCGTTTTTGAAAACATTTGCTGAGAAGAAATGAGTTCATCATGATCTATTTGGATCTACAAATTTCTGGGTGAAAAACCAAGAATTACCATATTTTACCACCCTGGCATGGGGTGGTAACTTGATGTAAACAATGATGAAAGTCGTAAATGACAGTTAATATACTCCTATTATCATGTTTTCAACCTTCCTACAGTCTTTGTATGTTCATACCATCATGGTACGCTTTCTTACCATATTGTATTCTTGGTGCTCCTATTCAATACCATATGATATTGACTGGTAAAAAAATATCTTAATTTGTTTAATCTAAAAATATATCAAAGTGGATATAATTTTAAAGAGTATAACTAATCTGATTTATTTGTGCAAAAAAATTAAAATTCCAATTTAAAACAAGAGAGAAGTTGTCCGTTAAATATTAAAAAGAAAAATATAAAAAACTTTCCATAAGAGATGCTGATGTCATGTTAATATGGACTTGTTAGTCATAGTTACTCACACTTAGGGCTGCAAATGAGCCAAGCTACTCGCGAGCAACTCGAGGCTCGAATCGGGAAAAACTCGTCCGAAACTCGATTCGTTTACTGACGAGCCAAGCTTGAGCTTAGCTTTGTTCAGCTCGTGAAGCTCGCGAGCTAGCTCGACTCGGTGGCTTGTTGAGCTCAACTCGTGAGTTGACTCATTTAAAGCTCATGAGATGTCTCAACATTGTGGTTTGAGGGCCAACTTGATCCCCGACTTATGGACTAATCGATCTAATTTGGACTTTCATAATTCATAGGATTGTTAAATTATATATCTCACATCATGTGAAGTTTAACATGTTGAACATGTAAGAAAATATGCCTTATTTTTAATTTGATAAAGAAATTATGTACAAAATTGTTTCGATACTATGAAATAACATGATTTGAACTAGTTAAAATTTATTAACTAAACAATATGACACCTAAAAATTATAAAATAAGATTAATTAATGTAACATTTGATTATTTTTTTTATCTCTACATCAATCACATGTACCATGCACGACATACAAAATGAATGTATCAAATACGATCTAAGAATTTAGTAAACAAGCCTAGCTCGAACTCGACTTAACTCGGCTCGTTAATAAATGGCTCGGGCTCGAGCTCGGCTCATTTGTTAACGAGTCAAGTTCAACCTGGGGTAAAACTCGACTCAGCTCGGCTCATTTGCAGTCCTCTAAGCCTGATCTGCTCTCCTGTGTTTGCGGCACATTGTTACCCAACAGCTTTCCACGACGCCGTACTGAACAAGACAAGGTGTCGTTTGGTTCCTTCCTCCCAATTCTCAGTGGCAGTGACCAGTAATTATTCATCAATACCGCGGCCATTCTCCGAGCGCCCACTCTCTCCCTCCCGCGCGCAGGAAAACACACAGCGGCGGCGAGCCCTCTGCCCTTTCTTGCTTGATCACGCGTTCCTTCTCCTCCCCCCACCAATCCGTTCTCAAACCTGCGGCTCCCCTCGTAACCCTAGAAATGCCTGGCTCCCATTTCGCCACCGGCGACGCCGTCGAAGTCCTGAAGCGGGACGACGGCAGCGGCGGCGGTTCCTTCCAGCTCACTTACTACCCCGCCGCCGTCCGCCGAGCACCCGCCAAGCAGCGGAACAAGATTCTGGTCGAGTACCAGACGCTGAAGAACGGGTCGGTACCAGCGAAGGAGCTCGTCGATTGCTGCAGCGTGAGGCCCGCCCCGCCGCCGGACGCTGGGGCATTGTTCAAAGAGGGAACCGACGTAGACGTCTACAGCGAAGGCGGTTGGCACGCAGGGATTGTGAAGGAGATACTTGGGAATTCCAAGTACCTGGTGGCGTTCGCTCGCCGGAGTGAAGGAATCGTGGCGGAGCAGTGCACTCTCAGGCACCATCGGGACTGGATTGGAGGCGATTGGTTCCCGCCTCTACGGCAAGTCCTTCCGCCGGTATGGAAAAATGAGGAAAATCGCGACATTTCTAGGGTTTTCCATTGTGCATGTTTCGATTTGCTGGTTACATTGTGCTTAATCTTTGTGGGATTTTGAATTGCAGAGGAAGCGCTATGTGGAGGAGCCAAAACCTGGGAAAATAAAGCTGAAGATCAAACGCGGAAAAGGGGAAACCGAGACAACGTTGAGAAAAGGGACGAGAATTGAAGTGAAATCTGATGATGCCGGTTTCGAAGGTTCTTGGTTTGCTGGGATCATAATCGATCTCGAAGGGACGAACAAGTATTTGGTTCAATATCTGAACCTACTAAACGAGGAACAAACTGCTTCATTGAGAGAAGTGGTAAGCGCAGGCAATGTAAGGCCTTACCCACCTGAAACTCAGTCAGGTAACTGTTACAAGTTTCTTGACAAGGTGGATGCTTGGTATAACGAGGGCTGGTGGGAAGGTGTGGTGTTGCGAGTGGATGAGAGATCGAATAAGTATATGGTCTTTTTCCCATTTACAAAGGACAACGTTTATTTTGAAGCTTCAAGTCTCAGGCCTCATATGGAATGGGTGAATGGGAAATGGGTCAAGGTACGTCAAATTAAGAATGGTCTTCTATACTCATATACTGATTACGGAGCTTCTTTTCTGCATAATTATTTTCATTGTGTTGATATACAGTTTCTTGCTTAATGTGAAAGCAGTTGGGTAGAGGAGAATTAGTTCTTAAGCTGCATTCATCGTATCTTAAAAGGTTAAGCTGCATTCATTCCATTAATGTATGTTTCTCGCAGCTTTCGTGTGCTGTAGTGAAGTTTAGCTGCCAAACAGTTTGTTACCCCATGCTGCTTCTCATTGTAGTCAATTTTTTTATGGGTAGGAGAGATTAAGGTGATTGGTAATTCATTATATGTTACAAAGCTCAGCTGCATTGCCACTATTTGTCTTCTTTTTGCAGGAGAAATCTGCCAAAGTCAACCATGAGGTGAGACAGACAGGTTCCGGTTACAGCAAGGGATTGAAGGTTGAGGTCAAAACTGATGAAGTTGGTTACCAGGATGCTTGGTTTGTGGCAACCATTCTCGATGTCCCAAGGAAGGATAGGTATCTGGTGCAATATGATAATCTTCTCGCCAACGATGAAACCAAGTTCCTGGAAGAGGAGGTGAATGCTTGTGACATCCGTCCATGTCCTCCACAGGTGCCAGATATTCACCCTTATGGACTTCTCGATATTGTGGATGCTTGGTGTAATGATGGGTGGTGGGTTGGCTGCATTATCAGAGCTTCTAGAGAGATGAAGTACAGAGTCCAATTTGGGACAGGAGAAGAGTTGGATTTTCAGCATACCCAGCTGAGACCTCATCAAGAGTGGAGTGCTGGAATGTGGTGCTCTGTTCCTAAGGTATACTTCCTTTCCAACTGTTATATCTGGATAGTTAGTACACTCTTATTCGTAAAGGCCTTAGGGTGTTGCTCAGATAGTGAGTGGTTATTAGCAGATTCCTCTTGTCTGTAACTAGGTAGGTAAGTTATGATTCATTGCAGACTGAATCCACATGTGAGTCGAGTTGGATTAGATCGGAATACAATTTGATCCGTTTTTTACTCAAGCTCAAAAAAAAAATTGTGTTCGATTCCGTTGAATCCCTATAAAAGCAAATAAAGGAATATGACCAAATCGAGACCATACCTGATCGAACCGAATCTGTTCTAATGCACTTTTGACTGTGTTTTGGCTACATTTTCCCTTTATTTTCAATCTGGTTCTATATCAATTAGGTTCAATTCTGGACCAGATTGAGCCCTGCCACCCTAAAAGTTTGCCTCTCAATTCACTACTATGACTTGGTTTCTTGTTCTAGTTGACCTACTCTAGCTTGCTATTATCACTTAGCTCTGTCCATCTGTTGGTCTGTTGCTTTTTCTTTTGCTGCTGACTTCTTTTCTCTTGGATCAGGATTGGAAGTTTTGATGACCACCCATCTAAAGGAGAGTACATCCAGTTGAAGAATCTAACTCTAGAAACCCAGAAATAGCTCTGAGAATGTGATTGGGTTGGTAGAAAACTCAGTAGGAAATCCTACTTTTTTTTTACCTATTTAGTATTTACCTGTAGAAAAGTGGCTCGCTTCCTTGTTCTTCAACCTCTTATCCTACCCTATGCCATACCTCCCTCCATTTTCCCATAGGATCTATGCACAAGTAACTGTAAAGACTATTGCAGAAGAACTGCCTTTAACTTGGACGAGTATAAGAGGTTCCTGTGTATACATTCCTCTGTGTTCATGTTATCTCAGCAAGTTGTTGTCTGAAGTTGACTGTCTTGGTGTTTTCGGAGTTCTAGAGTATCATTTTCGACGAGTCAAGAGGTAACTAGAATGGTTTATCCTCTTTCGATTCGACTGTTTAGCTGGTAATGAGGTTTGCTTTTCCTTTTCCGTTTTCAGCTGAAGATGATGCGCAACAAAAGAGGAAGAAGTAATGATAGTAGAAGATAACAAAAGGGAGAGGCTACCCGATTTAGGGATGGCAACAAAACCCGAACCCACGGGTACCCACCCGACCCAACCCGGTCAACGCGGGTAAAATCCGTGTTGACGGGTTTTGGGCCGGGTTTGGGTTTAAACCCGCTCACTATTCACCGGGTTGGGTTGGGTTGGGTTTGGGTTTAGGTAAACCCGGCCCGTGGGTACCCGCCCACCCATATAATTAATTTTTTCGGTACATTTAATATTCTAAACAACTAATTTTATTTATGTTTGTGGAGACATGTTTAATTTTTTCTTTTTAATTGTGTAGAATGAAGTTGATGTTATGGAGTGGAGAGTAAAGAAACTTAATTGAAAGGAAGAAGTTTTCAATTAAACATGTTATTTATGGATAATTTGTGATTTGCTTCAATTTTCTTGAGTTTTCTAGATTGGTGTTGAACAATTTGTATACTTAATTTGTGATTTGCTTGAATTTTCTAGAATGGTGTTTTATATATGTATAATTTGTATTGAGAGATTGATATTTGACTTTAATTTTGATAAGAACTTGTAATTGTAAATTTTTTACGACAAAACCCGTGGGTACCCATGAACCCGCGAATACCCAACGGGTTGGGTTGGGTTTGAGTTTTTCAAACCCAGTGGGTTTTACCCCGGGTTTTTTTCAAAGATAAACTCACGGGTTTGGGTTTGACAAAACCCGACCCAAACCGACCCATTGCCATCCCTAACCCGATTCTCTCCCTTCGGCCTCCAATCCCAGCCAACATATTCTTTTCCCTATATGAGAGTTCCAGAGATGAACAGAACTTCAATGGTTTTATGCATATTAATACCCATTCAATAAAACGCCAGTCGGATTCCCGATTTCACTTCCTTCCCCGCAATCACCCACGAACAAGGACAACAGGAAACCCCGCTGGAGTTTTGAACGTGATAATTGTGGGGAACAACAACCATTAAGTTAGATGGAGCTTACGTGACAATTCTTTTTTTGTAATAAAGCGAGCGCAGAGAGGCGCTCAACCCTTAACTATTGATAACTCGCGGGGTTTGAATCTTGACCAGATCGAAGTATAGCCAGTGTTTTAACATAGGGCAAGGGGTATCCACAAAACGGATCCCTACAAGAGTAGAGTACCCAATCGAAGCTAAATAATCCACAACATAGTTGCCTTCCCTGAACACATGTATAAGACGAACCTCCCATTGCTGGTTCAGTTGCCGCTTAATGGAGTTCACAAGAGTATGGTGAGGGTGAGAGGATTGCTCGCCTTGCAACAAGGCTATGGCCGTAGCTGAGTCCGTCTGCATAATGAGTTGTCACGCACCTGCCATCCACGCGAGGCGCAAACCATGATCGACTCCAGCAAGTTCAGCGTGCGGGATGGATCCCCCTCCAAGATTCATTGTAAATGCTCTTAAGAACCTGCCATCATCTCCCTGGAGCACTCCTCTCGCTGTTGTGCTTCCCTGGTTTAGAATTACCGATCCGTCAGTATTTAAACACACCCACCCCGGCGGCGGAGCCTGCCAACCAACCATTAGGGTCTCTCTGTCTGCATGACGCCCTGTAACTCGCCTGGCATTCAGAAGATGTGTCCCGACCTGGTCCACTAGAAAACGTGACTTGGATGCCACTTGGGTAGCCGACATCAACTCCTTCTCGAACACCCAGAGATTTCTGTTCTTCCATAGCTGCCAGCAAAAAGTGGTAAAGAGAGATGGGTCGACTACCTTACTGTGGCCAGCCAAGTAGTGCATACCCATTTCTTCAAGTCATGCTCGAAAAATTCTTCATCTGGCTCTCCTGAAAGCACTTCGGACCATGCATCCCTGGCGAAGGGGCAATCCCTAATCACATGAATAGTTGTCTCTGGGCCTCCTCCACAAATGGGGCAGCCATCCGATTCAGCAATATGTCTCCTACATCGTTCGGCGTTCGTAAGTAGGCGTTCGTGCAAGGCCAGCAAGAAGAAAGACCGTACGCGTTGGATACCCTGGACCTTCCACGCCAATTTCCAGATAGGATGCTGATGGAGTTCTTCCTCTCCTCTTGTTAAATCATACGCTGTTCGAAGGGAAAATTTCCCAGAATGAGAAAGCTTCCAAATAGGCACATCGGGTTCTTTGCCCTGCGGGATCGGGTGTAACAGTAGCTGTTGTACCATCTCTTCCGGCAGAAAGGCACGCGCAAAAGTATCGTTCCAGCAACCATTTAGGACCATTTCGGCCTCTGTAATCTCCCTCGCCTCATCCAGAAGGTTCACCGCAAATTCAGCAAGTGGCCGCCCGTCTTGAAGCCACCGGTCAGTCCAAAACAGAGTTTGCATTCCGCTATTAATGTTCCACATGGTACCTTTCGGGATGTAATGAAGAACTTGAATCACCCCTCTACAGAGATTTGAAAGTCTTCCAGTTACTCTCGGGATCCAGCTTCTCTCTGTCTTCCTAAGGTATTTGCCTCGGATGACTTGTGCCCATAAACTGTCTTTCTCCGTTAGAAGTCGCCAGGCTATCTTAACCATAAAGGCTTCATTCATCCTCATCGCATTTCGAACACCTAAACCCCCCTTCCTATTTCGGCAAGCACATGGTGTCCCAATCCACTAAATGGATCTTCCTTCCATGATCCGAGCTTCCCCAAATGAAACCTCGAATCTTTTTATCAATATAGTCTCTAACTGAGGCTGGTAGGAACGCCGTTTGCATTGTATAAGCTGGGAGCGAAGCCAAGACAGACTGAGCCAGCGTTATCCGTGTGGCCAAAGAGAGGGATTTCACTCGCCACCATGCCAGCCGAGTATCAATCCGATCAATGACGTCTGTGTATGTTGTTTTAGAGACTCGATCATGGATTACCGGCACGGCGAGGTACCGGCCTAGATTCTTTGTTTCTGGTATGTCAAGGGTTTCACTCAGTCTTGCTCCATCTGTCGCAGTAACATTACCAGAGAAGAAGACTCTCGATTTCGGTCTACTTACTTGCTGTCCTGAAGCAACTCCAAAATCCTGGAAGCACTGGGCGATTACCTGAACCTGTTCCATGGAAGCCACACCAAAGAGGATTAGATCATCAGCAAAGAACAAGTGCGAAAGCACCGGTCCTTGATGTGATAATCGGATAGGCTTCCAATCCCCTCTCTCTACTGCTGCATCAACAAGTTCTCCAAGGCGCTCCATGCAAAGTGTAAAAATGTACGAGGAAAGAGGGCAACCTTGATGTAGCCCCCTCGATGGACTAAAAGCCTCGGTCAGTCGGCCATTCCACTGGATTTGCATGCTAGAGGAAGATATGCAACTCATAGTCAACTCAATGAACTCCTATGGAACTTTAATCACAACCAGAGTATCACAAACAAAGGTCCATTTGATACAATCATACGCCTTGGAGGTCAACTTTGAGGGTCATCCACCCGACCTTTCCCTTCTTAGCTCGCATCGAGTGGACTACTTCCTGCAAAATAAAAATATTGTCAGTAATATGTCTCCCTAGGACGAAGCTCGTCTGGGTTTCATGCACCAGCTGATGCATGAGCGGCTTCAATCTTTCAGCTAAACACTTAGTAATCACCTTGTAGGCCACATTGCACAGGCTGATCGGTCTATACTGCTCAATGACAGTCGGTCTTGGGACCTTCGGTATCGAGGCGACAATCGTCGCATTCACCTCCTTCACTCGCTCTGGTTCTCTCCAGCAACCTTGCGCAAACTCCACTACAGCCCGACCAACTAGGTCCCAGCATCGTTGATAGAACAAGGGTCGTAGGTCGTCTTTGCCCTGTGTTTTTAACTTTTTAGAGCTCCCATCGCTTTAATGGCCGATGAACCTCTTCTTCCATAAACTGGTTTTGCAGCGGCAGCCACATAGCATTGGGGAGATCTTTAAAAGCTGCTGGTAACACAGTAAGAGGATTGCCATCATCGGTGTACAGTGCTGAAAAGTAAACCTTAGCCATTTGGAGAAGAATATTTTGGTCCTCAACCCAAACACCTTCGCTGATTTTCAAAGCCGAGACTCTGTTTCTGCGCCTTCTGGCGACAACTCTCACATGGAAATACTTCGTGTTTCTATCTCCAGAGGCCACCCATTCCAACCTCGACTTTTGAGCCCAGAGGAGCTCCTCTTGTAGAAGAATCATCTCTAGCTCCTCTCTAGCTTGCTGCAAGGCTGCATTTTCTGCACCAGCAGAAGCCCGCATTTTGAGTCGTTCAATGCGAGCCAGCAACAAGTTCTTCTTCCTTAAGATGTGTCCAAAGGTATGAAAATTCCAGCTTCGTGCTTCTTTGGCAAATTCAGCAATGGCACTGCACAAATCAACACCTCTTGCCCAAGCCGTAGCCGCCATCTCATTGAAACCTTCATGAGTGAGCCAAGCCGCAAGGAACCTGAAAGGCTTCGGCCCATCTGGCTGAAATATCGGATTCAGAGTGACCAAAAGCGGTCAATGGTCACTTTTCACCTTAGGGATATGGTGGACGACAGTATCCGGAAACAACGTCGACCAGGAGGAATTGGCGAGCCCTCTGTCCAACCTTTCCTTGATTCCCCCACTAAACCAAGTATATGGCGGCCTCGTAAACCCCAAATCTCTCAAACCAGCATCCAGAACGCAGTCTTGGAACTCCCGAGCTCTACCAGCGTTGAAGGGAGAACCTCCCAGTTTATCCGCCGGCTAGAGAATGGAATTAAAATCTCCAACAAGAAGCCACAGTTCCACCATATTATCCCCCAGAGATTGATAGATTGCCATAACTCGCGCCTTTGAATGAGGACTGGATTAGCATACACAGCTTTCAAAAACCAATTGTTACTCCCCAAGCATACTTTGACGTGGAGGAAGTAACTTGAACGATCAGTTTCAGTAATAGTAACCAGGGTGGAATCCCAAGCCATCCAGATGCCTCCCGCGTAGCCCGATGCATCAACAAGTAGATGCTTATCATATCCCAAACTTTGGATCACGTCCTCAGCTTTGCTCCCACTGATCCTCGGCTCAACTATAATTACGATACACGGTCGATACTTTCTGCGATATTCCTTGAAAACTCTTAGGAATCATTTACTCCCCGCCCCCTGCAGTTCCATGAAAAAATTCTTAACATCATTAAAATATGGGAGGTTCAAGTAGAGCACTCGGGTTCACGAAAGGGATTGGAAGGCCTTGGAACCAAGGCGATCCCCCAAATTCTCATCTTGAGTCTCAATAGGCTTCTCTCCTGTAGGCTTGTTTCCACTCCGAATGTCCACCACTGCTCTGGTGATCGGATCAGGTGGCTTCGTGTGGGTGTCAAAATGGCGCTTCTCAATGGGTACGGCGTAGCATTTTCCCTCTGGTCCGTCATAGCGGTATCTCTCGTACTGTTCCCACTACCACCCTCCATTAGATGGTTCGACACACCCTTACGCATCTCGGGGTGAGACCCCACGAAAGTACCTGTTTCCTCCAAGGGAAGCTTGTTACGCTGGGAGCTGTTACTTGCATGGGCCTCTACGTGCTGCTTCTCATGCATTTGTTCACGTTGCGCAGCTGCAGCTATTTTCACCCTAGACTCATTCCCCTGAGAATTTTTTTTAGTCTTTCGCCGTGGTTCTTCCCTAATACTAGGGTTGTTAATGACAGACCCTGATTGGTCCTGCTCCATGGTGTTAGACCGATCCTCTTCCCCAGCTAATGCTGAGAAACGTGAGCCATGCTGAGCCTGGCCTCTCTCATTACCAGATTTCCCTTTACCAATTCCTTTATGCGCATAGCTTGTAGGGCTTTCTCTTCTTGTTCTCGGCTTATGCTTCACTATCATCCATTCCCCATAATTTTTCTCCGTCTCCTTGTTCACCACCGGCTCGACTGGGATTTGTGGTTCTGGGGCAACAGTTTCCGTCGGAGTTGAGCAGGAACAACAGGAACGCTCAAAGTAGGATCCACACTTAAGACAGATCTTTTACAGTCCTTCATACTGGATGAAGTACGTAATGCCATGAATTGTAAACTGTGACAGTAGCGGTTTAGTGATGTCCACTTGAACACATACTCGGGCGTAGTCACTCCTATCCCCCGTGCTCGTAGCATGATCAACACGAATGGGTTTCCCAATCCGATTTCCTATCTTCATTACAGCAACTGGATGGAAATACTGGATGGGCAAATCAAGCAGGCGAGCCCAGACGAGAGTAGATGATATCTCGTGATTATAAGGGTTGAAATCCTTGGTCCAAGGATGAACTATAAGGTAGTTATCACCCACCATCCACGGACCTCCCGTAACTGCCCTATCATGGTCAATGCCACTCATAAATCGCACCAAGAGGTATCCATTCTTGGATGACGTAACTTGTATTGACCCCGCGTTGGCCCATAAGCCGGTCAGTCTCTTCAGGATAAGGGTATAGGAGACTGAACGACCTAGTACTTTGACCACTAGGGCAGACCGCCACTCCCGACAGAACAATCGCTCCTCTGCTGGAGTGAAATCAATGGGTGGGCACTTGGGATCAAACTCGCCCTCAAAACCTTTTTCTTTGCCATCCTAACGTATTGCTTCCGCAACATCTTCTGAGTTTGAATCCGCTATATACCACGTCCCAGTAACAGCCGAGGTACCAAAAAGCCGTCTTGCCGCTCCCACGCTTGAGCCCCAGACTGACGTGCGTTGGTTCATTGGGGGCGGAGTGCGTTGTTCGTCGCTCATAGTATCATCAAGAATATCATCCTGAATAGTCACGTTCTCAGGGATGTTGGTCGCTTGCTTTGCACGTATCTTCGATTGTTGAGCCTCCCGATCGCCTTTAGGGTTGGGTGAGGAGGTTGTCATAGGAGGCCTATGTTGAACAGCCAGACTCTCCAGCTGCTCGGGGGTTGTCGAACCATCCCCGGCCAGCGGCGTGTTCACCTCCGGCATGGGATCGGAGGAGTTAGCCACTGTGCCAAAAAGATTGTCGATCGCCGCTCCCAGAAGTCGCGGAGCGAGAAAACCCTAGCCACAAAGAAAATAACAATTTCAATATACTTGAAGAGATAACTAGATTTGCGAATCTACACTATAAATAAAAGCCAAATGAGAAAATTTGAAGCCCCATTTCAAATTTCCTGCATCCAGAGTGAAAGTAGGAAGGGTAGATTCGTCTTCACAGTTATTTATTAACTTCTTATTTACAGAAAAAATACATTAGTAATGAGATTTGAACTGTGGTCTTTTCGAACAAAGATAAGAAACATAACCGGTTACAATAAACACATTTGAGTGACCTTTTTCAATTAAAAACATTCATGAAGCTTAAATCTAAAAATCATAGGACTTTTCCACCATGGTTAGCAACTGAAATGTCATTGATTCAAATATTGCATACCGAATTGCACTCTTGAATCTCTAGAAGCGATGTAGAATTCTTAACATAAACTTAATTGTTATAACTTTCATAAAGTAACAATATTTTTAAACACAGAACTTTTGAGTGAATATGGGGCACATGTGTCTTTAAGAGAGGGGTAAATATGAAAAGGTTAAGTGATGTTGGTTTGCCGAACGCGGATGGAAAAGACACTACTAATGTAAACGAGCCCAATTAGTGCCCCGACCCACTAAACGCTCAACCATCGTCGTCTCTCCAAACTTTCCGACAGACTCAACAGCCGGCTAACCTCCTCTGCCTCTATTGTTACGCTAGAGCAATTTAGATGGGTAAATATGGAAAGATTGAGTGTTGTTGGTTTGCCCAACGCGGATGGAAAAGACGCTACTAATGTAAACGAGCCCAAATAGTATCCGGCCCACTAAAAGCTCAACCACCCGGGTTACTTTCGCTAAACCTAATATAATAGTGAAATGGGAAAGGTGTTTCCCCCATTAGAAAATCCTTGCATCCATAGCAAAATTAGGAAGGGTAGATTCGTCTTCACAGTTATTTATTATTTTCTTATTTACAGAAAAAATACATTGGTGATGAGATTTGACTCGTGATCTCTTTGAGAAAAGACAAGAAACATAATCAGTTACACAAAACAAATTTGTTTAAACTTTTTAAATTAAAAACATACAAAAAGTATAAATCTGAAAAATCATAGGAATTTTTCATCATAGTTAGCTAAGCCACTAACTCTACCCTAAATATATTTTTGGTATTTGATACTTCTATTTTCATACTTTGATTATTTTAATTTGAATTTAATAATTATTTATATTTCTATTTATCTTATAAAATGAGAATAATTTTAAAATCGCAAGCCTAATGTCATTGGTGCAAATAATTCACATCGAATTGCAGTATTAATGTGTAGAAGCGATGCAGAAATCTTGACATAGACTTAAATAATATAACTACCATAAAGAAACAATTTTTTTGAAAATAAAAGTTTTGATTGAATATGGGGCACATGTGTCTTTAAAAGAGGGTTAAATATGGAAAGGTTGAGTGATGTTGGTTTGTCGAATGCGGATTGAAAAGACGCAACTAATGTAAATGGGTCTAAATGGTGTCCCGGCCTACTAAACGCTCAACCATCGTTCCCACCGGACTCAACAACCGCATGACCTCCTCAACCTATATTGTTACGCAAAGCAATTTTCGTAGGGGTAAATATGGAAAGTTTGAGTGCTCTTGGAGAGATGACTGGTGGATTGTTTAGCTTCTTTGACAGTAATGTGTGATCTCTTAACATCAGTTCATTTGGTTGATCTTCTAAGTTGACTTTTGAGTTGATTACAGATAAACAGTGTCCCGGGCTCCCGGCCTACTAAACGCTCAACCATTGTCGTCTCTCCAAACCTTTAAATCGGACTCGACAACCGCCTAACCTTCTCCACCTATACTGCTATGCAAAGCAATTTTCGGAGGGGTAAATATCGAAAGGTTGAGTCTTCTTGCTTGGAGAGCTGACTGATGGGTTATTTAGTTTCTTTGAGAGTAATGTCTGATCTCTTAACATCAGTTCATTTGGCTGATCTTCTAGGTTGATTTTTTAGATGATTAAAGATAAATAGCTATACTTTTTTGTTGCTTTTGTTATGATACTCCTGTTTAGTATCATCATTTTTCCGATTTGAAATGTTTTTGTGCTTAGTTTTCAGTAAACAATGACTATTCTGATTAGTGTTAACATAGGGAATAGCTTCAATCATACCACTTTTACACAAAATTTATATGTAAGAGTTGAGATCATTTCCGAATTAAACTATTCAAGCTATAATGCTAATCTTCAACATATAAAACATGGTTTCTTTTGAGTGAAATAACCTCATGATTGTAGATAAGTTTTTACAATATGATGTTTTGTGACAGTGTCACTTGCTTCCAGATTTAAAAGTGGGGTTCTAATTACTACAATATAAAAAAAACGAGTGATAGCCATAATTGGAGCAGATACAAGATGGTTTGATATCATTCTCTCTGCAAGGAATAAATACATGGTGAGAATATGTTGTCATGGGAAGGACAACCCAAACTCTTTGTGTTTTTAGTATAGCATGTTGATATATACGCATGTCTAGACCCGATCGATTGGACATCTCCACCTGGAATTTATTGACGAGATTTTTGCTCCTCAAAGCCGGGTGCCAAGTAAGCTCTCTCCTTAATTATTATATTTTTCTTAATTTGCACATGCACACCCTCATAGGAAACATGTATGGAATTGTAATTTGGGTGCTTCTTTAGTGTTGTTTTCATAAGATTGTATTATTTAAGGTGTTTGTTCTAGAATTGTGAATCGTGATTTTATCTCCTCTAAAAAATTGTCAAGTGAAGCTATAAAAGAGGCCAACCTGAGCTTCCTATTTAATTTAGATGGTAAGAGAGCAATGACTTACATCAAATTGATTGGGGGTTGACAATGTCTGAGAAACAGTTTAGCCTTCTTCAGCGCATCACAAGATCCTGATAGTATCTCAACCAAAGCAATTTTTGTTTTCATGCATGATGTTGATACAAGTTGCTTACCTAGAAGAGAACCCCAACAAGTTAGCTTTTGGAGTTGTGATGCGAAAATGGGTGAGACAGAAATGGTTTATACAAAAGGTCATACAATGATCGTATAAAATACGTTGGTAGAGATAGTCATCAATCTCATTTTATTGTCGAAGCCACCGAGGAGAAGAGAGGAATCGCCATTGGTACTCTAAATTTTACAGGACTATTATAATGATAATTTCTTTCATTTCATGTAAATTTGTATTATGACTGAAGTGATATTACCCCAAGCCATAAATTGCAGCAAGGAATGGTTGTTTGAATTAATGTGCAATGATGCAAAATGTCATGTAGCTTCCACGAAAAAGGAGTAAGAGTGGACCAATCAGTGTGTTTGTTGTCGAGAAGGATAAGAATCATAATAATGAAAAGGTATATTGACAGAAGTTATTATCTGTTGGTGCTTCTAGGCATATATTGCTTGCCTATTTCTTTTCTAAAGTAGATTGCATGCTTTGTATTTTTTTAATTTTTTCCTGTCATTTTAATTAACAAAACTATTTATCAGAAAAAACTTACCGACGCATTCCATCGAGTTGATTTGGACATTGCTGGTTTTTGTTTTCTCAGCCAGAGATTCATCGCCTTTTGTATCACTGTGGTTTTTGGTCTAAGGGCAATATATATTGGAGTTTTCTTTTGAAATCTCTTGGTGACTTCCATTTTTACCATCGATAGTTGGAGTCTGGTAAGCATTCCTTTAGTTTTTTCATGTTCACTCTAGGGGCATCATAGTGCATGGCAATAGTTGCTATATTGAAGGCTAATGGCTTGGTTTGGATTGTCCATTATAGTGCTTATATTTTACTGTTTCTTTTGTAATGCAATGGGATAATGACTTTCCATCATATTATTGTGGTATTGTTGACCTACCTCCGGCCATCGCCGCATACATGTTAACGAGTAACATCAGTTATAATCAAAGAGTCAATTTTCGAGACTACGTCAGGCCAAGGGTCGTGCAATGAGCTAGCTTTTATCTACACAATAAATAAAAGCCGAATGAGAAAACTTGAAGCCCCATTTCAAATTTCCTGCATCCAGAGTAAAAGTAGGAAGGATAGATCCGTCTACACAATCACTTCTTATTTTCTTATTTACAAGGGCCAATACCACTAGGAAACCCGAATTATTAACTTTGTGCCATTTGTGTCCTAAAGTATTCGATACGACATTTGTGTCCTAAACTATTTTTCCTTTAGAGTTGACCGGCATTGACTGTTAGTTTTTAACAGAAAGTCTAGTCAGCGCTGATGTGGCATCTGAAGTGGAATATATAATATTAATTTATAATAATTTTTCATATAAAAAATTAAAATTCCAAAATAAAAAAACTAATTACCCTTCCCTCTCCCGTCTCCCGACCTCCGCCGCCGCAACTTGGAGTCCTCGTCGATCGGGATGGTCGCCTCGTCTTCACCGGAGGGTTTGGTTCATCTATGTCATCGGTCGTCTCCTCTCATTCTTTCCCTCTTCTCGATTGATTAGAAACCGTCGACCTTTCGCTCCTCCCAATGAAACCCAGATCCAATGAAACCAACAA